GAGAGACAGGAAGATCCTCCCTCCCCTGGTTCACTCTGCAAGCGGCCACAAGGACTGGAGCTAAGCCAATCTGAAGCCAGGAGCCAGGAGCTCCTCCTCCAGGTCTCCCATAGGGGTGCAGCGTCCTAATGCTTTGGGCTGTTTTTGACTACTATCGCAGACCACAAGCAGGGAGCTGGATAGGAAGCGGGGCTGCCGACACCCATATGAGATCCTGGCACGTGCAAGGCGAGGACTTTAACCACTATGCTATCGTGCCGGCCCCATTTTTAGTTCTTGATGTGTTACTTTTTCTGTACCTTTGAAATTGCTGCTTATGTACTACTAGCTTTTTGAGCTTTGCATTTGATTGTGAAATTTAAAATTTGTGGAAAAGAAGGTAAATTTTATGACCAATTTCCCAATTAAAGCATGAGCTGAAAATTGATTATATGGCACCAACATTCTGGCACAGAGGGTTAAGTTAGCCATCTGCAGCCCTGGCAGCCCTGTTGAAGTGCTTGTTTAAGTCCTGTTATTCCATGTTTCTGATCCAACTTCCTGCTAGTGTACCTGGAAGTTCATGGATACCCAAGTGGGAGATGAGGGTGGAACTTTGGACCTGGCTCAGACTTGGCATTCCCCAAGGTAAAGACTTTATGAACACAGCGTGTGTGAACCTTTGTAATAAAGGCCGTGTTATGGGCAGCCATTTTGTGCTGCATAATACAGATCCTGGAAGAGGTGGTTCAGTTGGGTTCCTGCCACCAATATGGAGAACTGGTTAAGTTTCTGATCACTTAAGCACCAGCCCAAGCCATCTTGGTCATGTGGGCACTGAAGCAGCAAATCATAGTTCTCTCTCATACAGTTTCCCTCCGATTCAAAGGGGGAGGGGAAGACCATGGTACTCTGAATGCAGCAGAAAGGCTGCTTTAAATTTAGTCCTTGAAAGTTGTAAATATGGGCAACAGTGCTTTTTCCTTTTAGGGGATTGATCCTGATGTTTCTAACTTAAGAAGAGCGTGGCAGTATTAGTTTTCATCAGCCTAAAGATGTGTACGTGTATCCTATCATAACTCAGCAGGATGGGCAGCCACTATTATCAACTTAAAAGTTAGCCTTCTGGGGCCTGGCGGCGTGTCCTAACGGCTAAAGTTCTTACCTTGAACACACTGGGATCCAATATGGGCGCTGGTTCTAGTCCTGGCAGCCCCACTTCCTCTCCAGCCTGGGAAAGCAGTCGAGGACAGCCCAAAGCCTTGGGAGCCTGCACCCACATGGGAGACCCAGAAGAGGTTCCTGGTTTCTGGCTTTGGATTGGCTCAGTATCGGCCGTTGTGGTCACTTGGGGAGTGAGTCATCGGATGGAAGATCTTCCTCTCTGTCTCCTCCTCTTTGTATATCTGACTTTGTAATAAAAATAAATAAATCTTTTTAAAAAAAGTTAGCCTTCTGTAGATAAAAATCGCCTATCCCCCCCTTTTAGGAAGTGTAACCACCAAAATGCACCTGTGTGTTTCTATGGAAATACATTTCCTGTTTCATAAGCTAGTAAGAAAATATATCTTGTTTTAGAAACTTAAATTGGGGCCCAGCAGCGTGGCCTAGCGGCTAAAGTCCTCGCCTTGAACACACTGAGGTACCATGTGGGCGCAGGTTCTAATCCCGGCAGCTCCACTTCCCATCCAGCTCCCTGCTTGTGGCCTGGGAAAGCAGTCAAGGACAGCTCAAAGCTTTGGGATCCTGCACCCTTGTGGGACACCCCGAAGAGGTTCCAGGTTCCTGGCTGTGAGTCATCAGATGGAAGATCTTCCTCTCTGTCTGTCCTCTCTGTATATCTGACTCTAATAAAAATAAATCTTTTTAAAAAAAAGAAACTGAAATTGGCATATGTGTCAGTTTGGCACCATTGCTCGGCCTTAACATGGGAATGAGTCAAAATGTAGCATTTGTATTGTTACTTTATGAATTAGGAGACTTCTGTTTACTTGCTGTAAGAGCTGTTGTATTCTACAACTGTGTGTGCATGTCAGAGACAACAGAATAAAATCATGCTTCAGCAGGTTTGTTGAGAACTTTGTCTGCCTCTGTACAGACTAGAGGCTTACTTTAGATTTCTGTTAAAATCTGTGGTAAAGTCTGCCCATTTGGCCAAGGCAGCATGCCTTAATGCTTATTGAGTATAGTAGTTAGTTCCTGAGGAATTTGTAGAATCCTTGTCTAGACAACTTTAAGAACAAGTTAGGTGTAAGTCTAGTGAAAGCACTAGAAACTAATACCTCAAGATACCACTCCTTCCCAGAGTGGATTTTTTTTTGTTTTCTGTTGGCAATTTCGGTTCATTTTGAAATCCCAGATAATTTCACGAATTCTTTTGGTAAAAATGTTGAAAATGGGGCCCGGCGCAGTGGCGCAGTGGTTAAGGTCCTCGCCTTGCACACCCGGGATCCCATATGGGTGCCGGTTCTATCCCGGAAGCCCCGCTTCCCATCCAGCTCCCTGCCTGTGGCCTGGGAAAGCAGTCGAGGACGGCCCAAAGCTTTGGGACCCTGCACCTGCGTGGGAGACCCAGAAGAGGCTCCTGGCTTCGGATCGGCCGTTGTGGTCACTTGGGGAGTGAGTCATCGGATGGAAGATCTTCCTCTCTGTCTCTCCTCTCTGTATATACGCCTTTCCAATTAAAAAAAAAATGTTGAAAATATTTAATAATAAAAGACCAGAGACATATGGCTAACAAATCCGAGTTCTCATGATGAAGTCTGTCCGAGAAGTAAAATATACCAGGGGCCCATCTGTTAGTTCCTGAAGGCCTGTGAGGTATAAGTCAAAAGTGATGCCTCTTTTCTTTTACTTTTTCTTTAGGTAATGGGTAGACTACTTTTACAGTTTCAGTGAATGAAAAGAACTAAATTGCCTGCTTGTTTCGGGCATCTCTCCAGGAATTTAGAAAGTATTTGAGGCATGGCAGGCTTATTGTAGATAGCCAAAATGGAAAAAGTACTGATGGGAAAAAAGCTGTATACTCATTTTTATTCCATCTGAAAAAAATGAGATAATGACTTTAATACATTTCTTGATAAATATTTTGGTATTGAAGAAATTTTTAAGAGCTTTTATTAAAAACTTGCGTAGTCTTAGAAGGTAAATAAAAATTTGTGGTATTGCTGAGATGGTGTGATTATTAAATAATAGCTTAAATGGACAGAGAAACCAAACTGTCTTTATTTTGGTCATAAGTAGTATATGTGAAGGCAAAAGTATTCATTAGATTATTTTATTTGGAGCTTTGATTCCATCCAACTTTTCAGAAACTGTTTGATGATGGAGGATATTAGAAGATATAGTCTTTGAAGGGAATAAAAGTGTAGATGATACCAAAAAAAATCTGCCAGAACCGAACATAAAGATCATAGTGCAATTTATGTAACATGCTCATTGTATTTCATTTGATAATACAGAGTTTTATAAGTAATAAAAAAGATATGCTGGCTTTGATGCCACAAATGTCCTTAACAGGCTGTGGGTACAGCCTGCCCAGGGTGGCACACAGTGCTGGGTGGACATCAACAAGGACCTTGCTGACAGCTTTGAGGCCTCTCTGTTGTGGGAGCTGGCTGTGCTGTGCCACAGTGCTTGACAACAGCCTCAGGCTGAGCTTCTGATCCTGTCAAGAATCCCTGCACACTCCCCCAGCAGCAGGCTGCGACCGTGCCCATTGAGAGGCACTATCATCTGGCTGGCCATTGGTGCATTTGCTGTGTCTAGTATAATTCCTGTCGGGGATAGTAGTTGATCTATTCTGATCTCTTGTATGTATCTTCTTCTCCTTTGTCTTTTGGTATGGTGGTTAGTCTGTAGAGCTTATTTTTCTTAAGTCAGAAAGAGCAAAAGTATTGGCCAACCAAAATTGGGAGGTGGTGTTGGTGATTTACGATGAACCTTGCATGGGTGCTGTAACGTGAGTTCAGGTAGATGTGCGAATCCTTCAGCCTGGGGTCCTTTGCTTTTACTACATTTTGGTTTAACATGACTTGGTGATAGCTTAAGATCACTAAGAATCCAGGTTATAAAATAGTGGATACTTACCACTTAGGTGGGAGGAGGGGGTTACAGTTAATGTTAGATTTATGTTTGAATTAAGTATTTCTATTAAACTTGTTTGCATTTTAGGAAGTAGAATGAAACATGAGAGGGGAGGAGGGTGAAAATATTGTTTTAAAAAATTAGAGAAATTCAGTAAATTATTTGTTAGAAGCTAGGCTTTTGAACAATTTTAAAGACTATAAAATTGTTTTTGTTTTTGTTTTTTAATAAATTAGTCATTTGCACTTTACCTGCTGGCTTTTCCATTTGGTAGATAACATTCTGAACTCCAGCAGAGTTTTATAATTCCCCACGTGCTTAAATATACTAAATGTTCTTTTTCCATTAAGGTTAATGTTCGTGAAGAAATTGAAGAGTATTTTCCAAGAATGTGGAAGATAAATCAAGATAAAAGAAGGCTAATGAAAAGTATTAAAGATCAGAAAATTAAAATTGAATGGGGGAAAAAATTGAACAGAAGATTGGTCAGATAGAAGCACTTGAATATTTTTTAAGGCTATTTTGAATTGTTTGGGGAAGAATACACGAAGTATGAAAAATGAAAAACTCAATGAAGAATGAAGAGAAGTAGAAAGCAAGAGTGAAGTAGAATTAAAAGAATCTGGAAGAATGAATGGGTCCTAGGTTAAGTAAATGTATGGTTTATGTTCCAGTGTCTGTATGATCAAGTTGTAGATGAATTTGCATGATTACTTAGTTAATAGAGATTTGGTGATCTGGTTCAAGTAGGGAATTGTCGAGGACAGTTAGCAGTATTAACAAGGGGTTATTAAGGAGCGGAAATTTTTCTGGAGGGTATTGCCTAACCATTTGTTTTTCAGGAGCAATCAATATAAATAATTACGGTACTTTGAATGTTAGGTGTTAGGCACTTGCGGGACGAGTGCCATTTGTAATACTGTCTTCTTTGTTAGGAGTCTCGCTCTCAGTCAAAATCTCCAACGGGAACTCCTGCTCGTGTAAAATCGGAGAGCAGGTCTGCATCTCGTAGTCCGTCACGGGTTTCCAAACACTCTGAATCCCATTCTCAGTCAAGATCAAAATCCAGGTAAGTGTGTTGCTAATACTACTTAACATATCCTCCTTGAGTTTTGCACAAATCCTTTTGGCTGCATTTAACATTTCATTAGACTCAGAATAATAAACTAGTTTTCCTTATACTGGAATTTAGATGCAGTTGATGTATGCTAGACTATCACAAACTAAGTTCTTGTCACTTGAATTTTTTTTTTTTTTGAAAGATTTACAAAGGAAGGTCTTACATCCACTGGTTCACAAATTCAGGTGGCCTCAGTAGCCAGAGCTGACCTGACCAGCTTCTTGCAGGTCTCCCACAGGGGTGCTGGGTACCCAGGCTTGGGGCTGCCCTCATCTGCTCTCCCAGGCCACAGGCAGGGAGCTGGAAGGGAAGTGGAGCAGTTGGGATAAGAACCAGCACCCATATGGGATCCTGGCACTTGCAAGGCGAGGATGTTGGTTAGCCACTAGGCTACTGTGCCAGGCCCAGATTTCTATATTCCTGACTTTTGATTTAGTGCTTAGTTTTATGCCAACAGTATTGTACAACAGTAAGGCCCTTTTCTCCATGGAAGACTTAAATGTAATTTAGTGCAGGCAAAGCTGATGTGTATTTGTGGTACTGGTTATTATTCTGAATAATTTGAGAAGCTTTAAGAGTGTTAGGATTTCATCTGTATCCTGTTCCTGAGGATTTTGACTTGATGTCAAGCTTGGCACTTTGGTTAGGTGTGGCTGGGCTGGGGATCCCCAGGTGATCTGGAACCCCACAGGCAGTGACTGGCACACCCCCAGCAAGGCTGCCTGCAGTGAGGCAGAGCAGGTAGGGCCACTTCCCAGAGGGGTGTCAGTTTCACCCCACTTCCATTCAGCTCCTGCTAATGTTGCTGGAAAAGCAACAGAGGGTGGGCCAGGTATTGGGCCCCTGTACATATGTGTAGATGACCTAGAGGAAGCTCCTGGCTTCAGACCTGCTCAGCTCCTGCCATCACAGCACTTTGAGGAATGGAGTAATGATGTTCTCTCTCCCTGCTTGTATTTAGTTGACTTGGGCATTTAGATGATGCATGAATTAATATTTTGTTGCAGCATCTTTACCTAAATGTGTTCCTCCCCCAAGGTCGAGATCCAGGAGGCATTCTCATAGACGCTACACTCGATCCAGATCCCACTCTCACTCTCACAGGAGACGATCTCGAAGTCGATCATATACGCCAGAGTACCGGCGGCGAAGGAGCCGAAGTCATTCTCCAATGTCTAACCGCAGAAGACATACAGGAAGCAGGGTATGTGGCTGATACAAGTTAAACTTTGGTATGTTCTGAGTGTTTGGCCCTGGCATACTCTGCTTATTATAAGCTAGACTGTTGTTGCGGAGTGTTGTGCCCAGTGCGATGGCTCAATTTGGCTATGTTCTCACCTTGTCAAGTGCCGGAAATCCCATATGGGTGCCAATTTATGTCCTGGCTGTTCCACTTGCAATCCAGCTCCCTGCTTGTGGTAAAGCAGTAGATGATGGCCCAAAGCCTTGGGAACTTGAGCTGTGGCTGTTGTCATTTAGGGGGTGTACCAGCAGATGGAAGAGCTTTCTATCTATAAATCTCCCAATAGAAGTAAATATTAGACATCTTCTATCCTGGTCCATTCTCCAAATGGCTTCATTTGCTGTTCTGGGCCATGTTGAAGCCAGGAGCTCCTCGCAGGTCCCACATGTGGGTGCTCTGCCAGCCACATTGGCATAAAGCTAGATTGGAAGTAGAGAAACCTAGCCCTTAATTGGTACAGAAGGTTGCCCACATGCGGCACTGAACTGACCGAGGTTGTGTCCTTGTTCTATCAGTGACAGACTAAGCACAAATTTGTGAGAACGATAAAACATTTGAATAAAATTAAGAATGGCTTTGTAGGATTTGTTTTGAAAGTCACTGTGCTGGAGGGCAGACATGCTCTTTGTCAGTCTACAAGCATGGTGTGTTCTGAAGAATGTGCAGGTAAATAGGGTTCATCTGCATTAGCTCTCAATTTTGATTCCAGAGGACTAGAAATCTAGAGGTGTTCTTTCCTAAGCAAGATACTTTTTTTAATTTTTGATTTTTGGTCAAAACTAATATTTAATAACGTCTTCATTCAATAGGCCAATCCAGATCCCAACACTTGTCTTGGCGTTTTTGGCCTCAGTTTGTACACAACAGAGAGAGATCTTCGTGAAGTATTTTCTCGGTACGGACCGTTGAGTGGTGTCAATGTGGTTTATGATCAGCGAACTGGGAGATCACGAGGATTTGCCTTTGTTTATTTTGAGAGGATAGATGACTCAAAAGAGGTAAATCTGCTATTTTTTTCCACTTTGAAAATGTGAATGCTTATAGTATTGAGTTGCTATAAAATAAGTTGATTGATCATTTTCGTTAACATGGTTCTAATTCTTATCTGATTCAAACTCAATTCTTAATGTTATAATTTCTGTATTTAACTTTTTAGTAAAGCAGTATGATTGAATTGTTTCTGACTTAATGGGATGGCTAAAGTAATTTTTAATTTTCTTTTGAAAGGCAGATTTTTACAGAGAATGGGGAAATGGAGAGCTCTTGCTTCCTATAATTAAATTCACAAATGGACAGAATTGGCTGGGGCAGGGCCAAGCAAAAGTCAGGAGCTTCTTCTGGGACTATTATGTGGGTGCAGCAGCCCAAGGACTTGAGCCTGCTTTCCCAGGCTATAAGCAGACAGCTACAAGGGAAGTGGAGCATCTGGGACATGAGCCAGTGACCAGATAGAATGCCAGCACCACAGTGTGGAGGACTAACCTATTCCATCACTATGCTGGCCCATGTCGACTCTTCTTAAAATTTGTGTGTGTTTTTTTTAAAGTAGAGACCAGACAGAAATCTTAACATTGGTTAATTCCCAGAATGACTGCAACAACTGTGGCTAGCCAGGCCAAACCAGTCAGGCCGCAAATCAGTCTAGGTTTCCCTCTTTAAGAGGGAGCTGGATTAGAAACAGATCCAGGACTCAAACCCTAGCAGTTCCATGGGGATACTTGTCTCCTTGTTGATTCTTAAAAAAGATTTTGTGGGGCTGATAGTTACGCTAATAGTGAACAAAATGGTTAGGTTTGATTTGTTTAAATGTTTGATTCCTTTTGTAAAAATGAAAATTATTTGCTATTTTAATTCCTTTTTTAGTTTCTAATAGTTACTACAACCTGTAAATTAAAAAAAAAAAAAAATTGTCACTTTTGGGAGTGTACATTAGCTCAACTGGCTAATTTAATACCTCCACGTGCCAGGATCCATTGTGTCACCCTGCTTGTGGCCTAGAGGACAGCGGAGGGTGGCTTCAAAGCTTTGGGACCCTGTACGCATGTGGGAGAACCTGAAAAGGCAGTTTCTTCAGATCAGTTCAGCTCAAGCCACTGGTTGTCATTTTGGGGGTGGGGGAAGTGAACCAGCAAATGAAAAATCTCCAAATTTCCTTTTCCAATGAAAATAAATTTATATTTCGAAAATTATACTTGTTAAAGCAATCTTTTTGGTAAGACTTAAAAGAAAATTATACTTGCAATAATTTTCTTTTTAATATTTGCTTATTACTTGAAAGAGAAAAAGGTGAAGAGACAGAAATGTATCTTCATTGTTTAGTTCATTGCCCAGAGGCTGCAGTAGCCAGTGCTGGCCAAAGTCTGGAGCCAGGGACTTCATCCAAGTTTCCAATGTGAGTGACAGACTGTTGGAACAACCAGGACATACGCCTGTGCCCTTGGAGTTGAGTGCTTTGCAGGTTAAAAGTTCCTTTATATTTGAACTCACTAGGTGGCGATATGTTCTTTAAGGAATGCAGGACAGCGGTTTAGAGTGTCAGCTAAATTGGAGTTTCTGTTTGAATGGCCCAAGCTGAAGGCAGTTACTGGCAGAGACTTTGCCTAAGGTGTGTGCTTCCTTGTCTGAGGCTGCACATTGGTTTTCACACAAGCTTTCTGAAAAGTCTGCATCTTAACACTGCTCTTGACAGATGTGTTGAAGATTGATGTTTGAACTCCTTACTCTTTTGAGAAGCACTTGGAGACATTTTATTTGCAGTACAAAACTTGATTTATTACATCCACTGCTTCATTCCCCATGCAGTTGTAGACAGGTCTTGTATATTTGAATGTCAGGATTGGGCCCCCCCCCCCCCCCCCCCCCGCCCCACCACCACAAATTGCCCCACCTGGGCCGGGCCAGGCCAAAGCCGAAAGTCAGAAGCTTAATCTGAGTTTTTCATATGGGTGCAAGGTCCCAAAATGTGGGCCGCCTCCACTGCTTCCCCAGGGAGCTGGATGGGAAGTGGAACTGGGACAGGGTGTGGGTGCCTTTACTGGCTGTTCTACAACTCTGGCCCCATCTGTACATTGTTTTGTTTTTTTGCTTGTTTTGGTTTATTCGTTTATTTTTAAAGATTTTATTTTTATTGGAAAGGCAGAGAAAGAGAAATGGATCTTCCATCCAATGGTTCACTCCCCAAGCTGCCACAACATTTGGTGCTGCGCCAATCCAAAGCCAGGAGCCAGGAGCTTCTTCCGGGTTTCCTATATGGGTGGGTGCAGGGTCCCAAGGCTTTGGGCTGTCCTCTACTGCTTTCAAACTAGGCCACAAGCAGCAGGGAGCTGGACGGGAAGTGGGGCTGTCAGGATTAGAATCAGTGCCCATTTGGAATCCTGGCGTGTTCAAGGCAAGGACTTCAGCCACTAGGCTACTGTGCCAGGCCCAGTCCCATCTATTTAAAACAGCTTTTTTTCTTCCTTTCTTTTGAGAGTCTGAGAAATCAGATTGCTAGCTCCCCAGATAGATAGATGCCTTCTATTCAGGTCTCCCACATGCGTAGCAGAAAGCAGATTACTTGAGCCAGCATAGCCACCTCCCAGGTCTGTCTGCTCAGGAACTTGGAGTCAGCAGCCATACCTGTGTCAGAACAGGTACTCTGAAATGGGATGCAGACATCATTACACCTGCCCCAATGACACAGTATCTTTTATTTGGGCTGGATTTTAAATTGTTATTTGAATCAAGTAATTAAAATGTTCCAATTTTTGGCCTAGAAATGTCTGTTGTCATCTATATAAACAATATTACTGTGTCACTTTCATAATTGAATTAGAATATACTGTGTGAATCTTGCCTGACTGGTTGTGCCTGATGGACTTGACAGGCTATGGAAAGAGCCAATGGAATGGAGTTGGATGGGAGAAGAATTCGTGTGGATTATTCCATCACCAAGAGAGCGCACACACCTACACCAGGCATCTACATGGGCAGACCAACTCAGTAAGTGTTGATGAAGACCATGAGTGTGCAAAGTTGAGACAGACAGTGCTATTCTTCCCCCCCCCCCATAATTGGCATTGAAGTTTAATTTCTATATATTTGTATATTTGACTAGGAAGACAAATTATAACTCTCCAAGTACATTCCTTACTCTTGCGACCAATAGGAAAACAGTGTTTATTTATTGATAGAGCTATTTTTTGCTACCTGGGATGTGTATAGAACTGTTTTCAGTAAGCTGTGTTTATCAGACAGGCAGTTGCAGAGATCCTCCAGCTGCTGATTGATGCCTCAGTGGCTGAAGCCAAGGTGGTTCAGGCCAAGGGCCCAATCACTTGGGCCATACTCGGCTGTCTTAGCAGGGAGCTGGATCAGAAGTGCAGCAGCTTAGGCTTGAAGTACTGCCCATATAGGATGACAGTGCAGCAGGTGGACCCCATAACTTGCTAAGCCACCATGCCAGCCCCATAGTGCAGATTTTATTTCTGTGTTTCTTTTAAAGACCTGACACTTTCCAAATTGAGCAAACATACAGGGTGTTAGATGTTTTTAAAAATACAGTGTAACAATATGCATAGTTTCTTTTGAGTAAAAGAACAGTTTTATTGAATTTAAATCTTTATTGGGTGAAGTGTGAATTTTGGTAAGAATGGCTTTCAGATTCCTATTGTATGTGTAAAAAAAAGAAATAGGGTTCTTGTGGTTAGACACTGATGAAAGCACCACAACAAAGAATGTAAATTCACTGCTGAGGAGTTCAACCTCAGGCTGAAGTTGTTGTGTTCAGGATTAGCTCTTGCCAGTTATTTGCCACGTTTTGGCTAATTGCAGGCATTCAACAGAGTTACACTGCCTCACTGTGCCTCCATAAAAGGTCCTGGTGGCTTGGGAGGCTGCGCTGGAAAGATTCTTGATTTTGTATGTAAGCAATTAGCAGCCAGAGAACTGAAATGATCTGTGGGTGTAGGAGTAGTTTTCCGTCTCTCATCCCCTCTCCAATTTTTTTATAAATCTAATTTGTAATAAATGATCCTGGAAGAGACTCATTCACACTGGCGTGTATCTCGCCCTTTCCTGCAGCAGTGGTGGTGGCGGCGGAGGTGGTGGAGGCGGTGGAGGCGGAGGTGGTGGGAGACGCCGGGACTCTTACTATGACAGAGGATACGACCGTGGCTATGACAGATACGAAGACTATGATTACCGGTACAGGTAATATCTTAAACTGAGGTTTCTGTTCTCAATTACACCAAAATAGTGTTGGGCATTTCTGTATTTAATAATATAAGTAAAAACCTTTGAAAATAGAAGTTAACTTTATTATTGGTCAGTAGCACACAGAAAACTTAAGATTGTTCTCTTGGACATCATTTTTAGTAGCAGCAAAGTTTAATTTTCGTCTGCCTCAGTGGATTGATTATGTGTTGAGCAGTTTCTTATTTCTTACAGAAGAAGATCTCCATCTCCTTACTACAGTCGATACAGGTCACGGTCAAGATCTCGTTCCTATAGCCCAAGTATGTGAACTCTGGTGTTTAAATTTTTAGTTTTAGTTTGTCATTTAGAACACTGGGATGTGTGGCGACAGTTAACAGTCAAAAGCCTAACAAGTTTTTTTTTCTCTTTCAGGACGCTATTAATGGAATTGTTGCAGTTAAGGACTTTTTTTGCTCATTTTAATTCTGGATTTCCTCAAGCTTCTAATCCTTCCTGGTCCATAAAAAATTTTATTTAGCATCCACACATTGTGGTTGTGTTGCTGTTTTTCCACCCTTTTTGTTTGTACTCTTAAAGAAGTAATTGTCATTTTGAGTAGTTAAATATCTTGAGTAAAAAGAAAAAACAAAACCCCAGTGTTATGCTTTGTAAATGGTTTTTCTTTGCTTTTACAGAGGATAAATTTCTAGCTAATCAAATGAGGAAAATGATCTTACAGACCTCCTATTATGTTAGATATTTATTAGACATTGTGTTAGAGACTTTGAGTTTTCATCCAGCTCATTTTGGGGAACATAAGAACACCTGAAATAGTCATGTCAGGTCTGTCTGGAGTGGCATGGGACAGATAGTTAAGTGTAGAAAGCTTGAAGTTATAGAAGAAAATACTTTGATGTTTCTTTTAAAGAGCCAACTTCCAAACTTCTTACAAATAAAAAGTCCTTTTTAGGTAAGAGAAACTTGTGGATGCCTGCAGAACATGCTGTATTTCAAATGCATCTGTTAAACCTTATAAACTTAAAAAGTTTTATGTTAAAATTATTGAAGTTTACGTATTCCCTTAATCAGTGAAGGACAACCCTTATTTATTACATAGAGCAATTGTATAATTTGCTGTTAGAAATTTTGGTATTGGGATAATGGTTAAGCAGGCTACTGTGGAGTTTAGAAGTTCTTAGAGGATACACGTAGGGGAAAGTAGTAGTCTTTCAAATAAAAGATAATTTCTTCGAAAATTGGGTTGCCTCTTTATTGTGGTATAATGGGAATATAAGTGCTGATTATGGACCCACTCATTTTCTGTACATTCCTACAGTACAAAAGCTTTATGACCCTGAGTTGAATTCCCTTTGTTTTCCTCTCCTTTTTTGTAGTCCATGTTAGAAACACAGCATCAAGCTCCAGGAAAGAAGCCTAGAGCTCATCTTGAAGGGCCACAGCCTATCAGGAAACACTCCTTAATCTGTTGGTCCCTAGAGGAATTTTGCATTAAAAAAAATAATTGAACAATCAAGGAAGAGACAGGTGCTTGCATCATGGCACAAATATCCATAACAGCCTAAGGTTGGCCTGGTGGAAACCAGGACCCTGGAACTCCATCGGTTTCCCACATGGATGGCAGAGACCCAGACTCTGCCAGTGAGGAGCTGGGACTCAAATCAGTGCCCATATCAGATGTCACAAGTCATAGTAGTGTAACATGCCACACTGCCAGCCCAGTAATCTAGATCAATTTGGATGTGTGTTTGGTGTGGGTAAGACACTGTGTCAATGCCTAGGTGCTCAGCTTCACTGCTGATGCCAGCTCCCTGCAGTGATGGCTTCAGTATTCACAACAAGGTGAGCCTGGAGGATGCGTGACATGAAATAACCCAGCCTGGGAGAGATCTCCATCAGAGCACGAGGACTGGAGTGGTGATTTACCAAAGCTGAGGTGATTTTTGTAGGGAGGGAGAAAAGGACAGATTTTGGTGAAAGGATATTCCTTTCCATATAATCAAACACTAAGCATTAGAGAGAACATTGCTTGTACTTCAAAGGTGAGATATGCATTGAACTTTGTAACTAAGCTACCCACATTCCTCCTTGCGTGCCTGGGTTCCATATTTGCTCTCTTGATTAACTTCCCTCAATGTGGAGGCAGCAGTGGATGGCTTGGGTGATTGGACCAGTGCCAGCTCATTTGGCTATACTAGGCTTCGGTGTGAGAGACACTGGGTTCTACAAACGATCTGAAGAGGAGTTTGGGCCTTTTAAGTGATTTTTTTCCTTTTTTAAAGATATATTTTTATTGGAAAGGCAGATATACAGAGAGGAGGAGAGACAGGAAGATCTGTCCAGTGGTTCATTCCCCAAGTGGCCACAATGGCTGGTGCAGAGTCCCAAGGCTTTGGGCCATCCTTGACTGCTTTTCCAGGCCACAAGCAGGAAGCTGGATGGGAAGTGGGGCCACTGGAATTAAAACTGGTACCCATATGGGATCCCGCCACATGCAAGGGAGGACTTTAGCCACTATGCTGTTGTGCCGGGCCCGATGTTTTCAAGGATAAGAAAACCTGTTTCCGTTCTGGAACTTCAGAACAGCAATTCCTACATCATGTACTTTGGCTGTGGAGTCTAAAAAGCGAAATAGGGCCTGGTGCAATAGCCTAATGGCTAAATCCTCTCCTTGCATCTGCTGGGATCCTATATGGGTGCGGTTCATATACCAACTGCTCCACCAATCTGGGAAAGCAGCAGAAGATGGCCTAAAGCCTTGGGAACCCTTCATCCACATGGGAAATCTGGAAGCAGAGGAGGATGGCCCAAAGACTTGGGATACCTTTGAAGGGTGATCAAGTTTTCTGGGTTTGTGTCATGACTATGATCACAGAGCTAGACAGTGTACTGAACTGTATCTTAATATTGCAAAAATGGTGTGTATTTTAAAAAATGCTAGTAAAAATGTACCAATAGGGGTTGGGCTATTAAGGTGATATAGTAAGCTAAGCTCCCACCTGCATGGAGGTCCTTGCTGTTCTACTTCTGATCCATCCCCACCCCAGCTGATGGCCTGGGAAAGCAGTGTAAGATGGCTGAAGTCCTGGGCCTGGCATGGTGTCTAGTGGTTACCTCATCTTGCATGCACTGGGATCCCATATGGGCATCGGTTCTAATCCTGGCAGCCCTGCTTCCTAGCCAGCCTGGGAAAACAGTTGAGGCCGGCCCAAATCCTTGGGCCCTGCACCCATGTGGCAGATCTGAAAGAAGTTCCTGGCTTCAGACTGGCACAGCTATGGCCACCTGGGGAGTGAATCAGCGGACGGATCTTTGTCTAGGATAAATCTTAACCTTTTTTTTTTTTTCCTTAAGTTCTTGGGCTTTTGCACTCCTTTGGGAGACCCAGAAGAAACCTGTGGCTTCGGATCAGCTCAGCTTTGGCCTTTGGCAGTGATTTGGGGAGTGAATGAGCAAACTGAATATCTCTGCAATTCTGCCTTTCAAATAACTTTTTTTTTGAGAAGTGAGGTCTTTAAAAGGGACATTTAGTAATGTTTCTCCAATCACACTGACGTGACCTGAGTGCCTAGCATAGCCAGCCTACACTTGGGCAAGGACTCCAGCCTTCTGCCCAGGCAGGGCTTTCAGGTCCCTTAGTCCAGGCCACCAGTGAGGGAACAGGCAGAACACGCCGTTGCCACGATGCGCTCCATGTGTCCAGTGCTGGTGGGTTGGAGATAACTAATTGGGCAAATGACAGCAGGATGGTATCCCTGTCACTTTTTCATAGACTTTGTTTTCAATACATCTACTCTAATACATTTCATTTCTCTCCCACCCCAGAACATAAAGGTGAGGAACAAGCTTCCAGCAAGGGAAACAGAAGAAATAGAACAGTCCATTTGCCTTCTGGAAGGAGATGGCAACCTTATGCATCCTGTTGCCGAGGGGAGGATTCTCCAGAGCACCTGGCATCCAGAATCACCAAGACAAGCCAGAAATGGCATTATCACCTTTCACAAAATCAGGCTGAGTCCAGGCCTGAATGTGGAATATTGGTGCAGGAAACAGCTATGGAAGCAAGAACTAGAAACTAGCAACAAAGGATCAAAGGCATGTGCAACTCCTGTCTCAGGAGACCACCCGGGGAGCCAGGGCAGCACGCCAGGGGTGTGCAAAGAAAAGTGCAGCTACGCTACTTGGAGCTGGATGAGCACAGACTTGCCAAATCCTGCTTTTCACAGTCGGGATGTTTAAGGGCCTACGTCCTTGGGCAGCAGATAGTGAACTTCTCACTGCTGAGTCAGGACTTTGATATTCCTAACCAGTGTCCCCATTTAGATGCCTGCTATAGCATGGTTTCACTTAAGCCAGTAAAGGAAGCTAGGGAGACCTCAGGTTTATCCCTGACACTAAACAGAAAGGACCACACCTGCAAACATCTCGACATCCACAGGGCTCTACGCCATTCTTGGCAAAAATGCCTGCTGAAAAAATGTCATTTCACAGATTGTGTGTTTTCAGATTTTTTTTTAAACTATTTTCTAAGTTATAGTTAACAAAATACAACTTTTCGATGATTTTTACATCAGTGATTAGGGTGCAAAGGGTCAAGGGCTACAGGAAGGTGAGACCATTATTTACACAATTTTTTTTTTCCTTCCTGTATCTAGGGAAAGGGAGAAGATAAGCTTCCTAACCACCTACCTCCTTGCCCTGGGATGGGGGATGGCCGCCCGACACCATTCCAGGGTTCCTGATATGAGACATGCTTCAAGGGTGATGCACAAGAGATTTTGATAATTCATAAGTTCTGAATTAGTCTCTCGCTGCTCCAATGACAACGAAATCTCCAGAATCCATTGGTTGACAGTCAACCTTAGAGTCTCAGTTTGCCCAGATACTCACTGCCAACACATGTCTGGGGTAGTTAATCAGTTTATCCTGCCCTCCAGGTGTCCTGTGCAGGTTCCAATGTACCGCCATATCCTCCATGTACACTGGGTATGCTGTCCACTGCTCCGTTTAAGCCTCTGAGGAGGCCCAAGATCAGATCATGGAACCTGCAGTTCTCTCCAGGGTTGGGGTTCTGAGTCCAGTGATTAATTTAGAGAGATCCCCAAAGCAACTTCATCTAAGGTGATCCCAGACCTGATTCTTGTGTGTGCTTGCCAGTACAAAGTTTGACACAATCTGTTACTGCAATCAGCTTATGCATGTGCTGGTGTTTGCAATTGCTGGGTCAGTTCTGTTTCCAGCCCTGTCTTCTGCACAAACCAATAGGTGTTGGAGCCCAACCCGATCCTGCCCACCACACACTTGGCCTTCATGCAAACCAGTGGGAGCTGCAGTCTGGTCGGAGCGACCTGCAATAACCCCCACCAGGCCTGCCCCTACCCTGTGCGTGCCAATATGCACAGCAACCTGGTTCAGTCTGTCCCACATACCCTTGAACTCTCAAACTTGTCACTGGGTATTGGGGCATAGTTCAACCCAACAACCCCACTATCCAGCATACACAGAGTTGCCACTCTGTCTAGCCATGTCTGCCCCACTCCTGGTTCTCATGCTCACCAGTGGGAGTGGCAATCCAGAGGGAGGTGCCCACAGCTTCTCTACTGGGCGCACTCCCATTACCA